ATACACACAGTAACCTTGATACTACCGGGCTCTTGTCAGTAAAACATACACTAACTAACCTGATGTTCCCTGACATAATGTAAGTTATAAATCTTGGAATGTATATAGCTGGGTGTTGTCAGGAGGAATGTCCAAACTAATGAAAGTGGAAAGTTCCATTGAAAATCAGCAAAAATATCCACAACCAAAGATGTCACATATATATGAATTCGGTTTTGTAACAATTCAAACAACTGTTTTTATAAAAGTGTTAAAAAGTAACAATATCCATACATCCAGTCTGAGACGATTTCCTCACCATTAGGCTCGTCTCATTACATATAGATATATATTCCGTCTTTGCGTATTGCAGAGTTATCTTCTCTTGTGAGCAGGAATTGATTGTTACGTCATTGGTTTGTGTGAGAAAATTACGTCGTTTTCTCAAAACTTGATGACGTTACTCTCACAAACAAATGGCGTAATAATCAATACCTGCTCTCAAGAGAAGATAACTGCAATACGCAAAGACAGAATACAGTGGGTCCTTATTTATGAAGTCAGGAAAATGCCAATTGAGTTATCTTAGATAGAAAAAAAATGCCTCATTAATTTAAAACGATTTGTTCCAATTTTTTTAAAGCACTTCAACAGCCCAGCCAAAAATTATTATCTGGGCCATTATAGGGTAGAGTGCATCACTCAAATACATCTTGTAAACAACATCAAAACAAAAGGAAATCACTAGACATGTTCTACTCGCCATCCACGATCGGAGTCAGTGTCAGTTGCTGGGATAAAGACAGGAGAAAAAAACTGTTGACAGTGTACAAAAGATAAGATGTTATCACATTTCGTGTTGTATTACACCACCACCAAACAATACAAGATGTAAGTAGCTTATTAACAACACAAAAACACAGCCCAAAACTGATACACACTAAAAATAATAGTCTTGTTAGCTTTACCTACAATCAATGAAACTTTCTTATTTGGAAAATCTTCAAAAAAATTCTTAAAACTTGTGAATAAAACTTGTATAAATAGATACATAAAAACATCAATAAATTTGAAGAATGCAGCTCCCTGGATCCTCACACAACTCCAGTACTTCAGTTGACCTGACTGACCCTGAGGTACGGGGTTTGAATGAAGTCGTCACCCTGACATCTGTATCAGCTTCCCTATAGAGAGGCGGTTCGGTATACATAATGCAACGATGCAAATTTCTGAGCCAGCAGCGGTAACCCATGAGACAGCCCCCACATATAAGTTGTCTATCCTCCATGAAGGAGGATATCTGTATGACCCTCAATAAAATATTAGTTATATTTGTGACACTATCACGACAAAACAATGAAATATTCTGTTATCACGTAATTATTAACATTTAATCATCATATGAGAGACAATGTCTTTTATCGTGAATTTTATACTTTTCATGTTTTTTGAAGACAAATATTTCAGAGAAAAACCTTGATAATGTATTTGTAATATGTAGGACGGAACTGCCCTACCTCTCATACACACAAATAATTAGGATATCAAACACTGGAAGTATTATCTCCCCTTGTTTTCTACACGAGTTGGGTTTGATATTGAGCACGAGTTAACCTCGGGCAAATCTCTGTCTCTTATTCGTAACATTTGTCTACAGTTTTGATCCTCGACTTACAAATTTATGGCGTCATACCTGAAATGTATGACAACGACTTAGAGTATAGTATAGCTTCGTTAGCCACTGATCATACAGACAGATATTTTATAAAAACTGTAAAATCATACTTACCCCAATGGCAATGAAACTATTGATGGTGATATGTAGAATATAATCTTGTATTAATTATGATCAATACCAACTGTCATTCACAACAAAAACACATAATCTGTATTTAACAAATAGTTAACTTTTCCCTCAATACTACAAAAACCAATCTCCATTTATCAAAGATGTAGATCAAGGAAATGGTCTTGAAGTTTTGTAGCAGTGATCTGTCAAAATGTCTGGGGCGGGCCTGGAAATGTAGGCCAAACAAAGGGGCAGCAGATACTATAAAGTTACAGAGTAATATTTAGTATCAAATTTCAAACAGACTAACTCTCCTACCTTTTTTAAATCCAACCAATCTGTCTGAAATACAATGAGTACTCCACTTAGCGACACAGGGTTAAGTACCAGCGGAAAAAATCTAGACCATATAAGAAAAAAAACTTGAGAGATTTTTACGTAACGTCAATAGTATCATATGTCCCGAAGACTTGATTTAAATCTAGATGTGTGACCCTGGTTGATCCGCATAACGAATTACAAAATACGCAATTCACACGTTTTACGGAGGTCTAGTGCTATCGGGTATAGATATCAACTAAATCAAATAGATCTTGCCTTATCGTGGTCTGCGGCTAGTCCACGGTATCACTTTACAGCTTACCTAATTGGTGGTAAACATGTATGTCATGTCTTGTCTTGTAAATTTGACAAGATCACACCAAATACACAATACAGATTATCTCAAAATCCCTCTGCTATGTCGACCCGCAGGAACCCAGAACTGTGCACGTCTTCCTGTTTATACACTAAATGATTTAATATTTTTGTAGCTGTCGTAATATTTACATTTTGTGGTTTATAAGTTGTGGGTATGTGTGGGGTTTGATCTACATTTCAGAATACTATACAATGAATGAGAGAACCACCTTTCCCATGTTTTCATTTTTCGAAAAAAATTAAGAAAAAAAACACTTTAATCGGGGAGACCTTTTACATGGATTAACTGATCATATTATGTCACTATTGTGTGAAAAGTATATGTTATGAAATATGAGTTTAGTGCATTCCTCAGACCCCCTCAATTTACCTGTTGTGCCCTAATATCTAGCGAAAATTTATATTTTATATTATTTTTATATTTTAAGAATCATAGCTTCTAAACAAGGTATACACAATTAACAGAAAAATATACCTAAGTAAATTAGCAAGATTTCCTGGTCACAGAAGAAATCAAAACCAGATTTCCCCAGACCACAGCAAAACTAGTTTACTTAACAATCAATATCATATAATCGTTTTTGACAAGAACAAATCCATTCAACTTTAGGAGTAGATATGCATTCATCATCACACTATATAAAGTAGTGATAAATATTATATTTCTTAAAATGTTGTAGAAACTTTAAGTTGAATGAGTACAACCTTGTATACAGGGAATAATGGATGGCTGGAAAAGACTGATGTGACCTTGGTCGACCTCGAGTGTAGTTTGACTGAGGACCCCGGGATCCAGGGTGACAATAAGGGAACATAAATGTCAGTTTTAGGCAACAAAGTGTCCCAAACTGGTATAACAGTCGTAACTATACACAGTGTTGAACCACCATACAGACCATACAGGAACGTTTGGTAGTGTGGGACCTCAACCTCCTCTATCATAGCCATGAATGGAAGCAATGAAAGTTAATGGTTCGTGGCATCAACCAAAAAACCATCACTTCTTTACCTGTATATATTGTATTGTTGATGTTCATATTGGTCATCAATCTCAGTTATGGAAATAAACAGGAAATTTTGGCAAAACATTCAATTATAAAAACTTTGTTCTGATCAAAAGTTCCTCTACTGAATTATTCCAAAATTGTATTTGATCAAATAGAAAGAAAAAGGTACATCAAAAATAGGATCATTTCATTGAAGGAAATACAACAAATAGAAAACAAACAGGATATTAAACTTCCATGCAACGTTACTACATCTTTAAGAATCTTAAAAATGAGCTTGGTTATTCCAGTCACATCCAAGGTCTGGAAAGTATAAATCAGAGACTAGAGATCGTCATATACAGATTCACTTCCATTATAATCATCTCTAGTTTAGTCCAGTGTTGCATCATTGTTTTTGACTTTTGTTTTCTGTTCTTAATCAATCTCATTGTTATCTCCCCTTTATCTCAAACTCAACCAGAGTAGTGACATTGTTATCTCCCCTTGATTATATTACTTTACCTCAGTCTATGTCATTGTTATCTCCCCTTATCTCAAACTCAACCAGAGTAGTGACATTGTTATCTCCCCTTGATTATATTACTTTACCTCAGTCTATGTCATTGTTATCTCCCCTTATCTCAAACTCAACCAGAGTAGTGACATTGTTATCTCCCCTTGATTATATTACTTTACCTCAGTCTATGTCATTGTTATCTCCCCTTATCTCAAACTCAACCAGAGTAGTGTCATTGTTATCTCCCCTTGATTATATTATTTTACCTCAATCTTTGTCATTGTTATCTCCCCTTATCACAAACTCAACCAGAGCAGTGTCATTGTTACCTCCCCTTATCACAAACTCAACCAGAGTAGTGCCATTGTTATCTCCCCTTATCTCAAACTCAGCCAGAGCAGTGTCATTGTTATCTCCCCTTATCACAAACTCAACCAGAGCAGTGTCATTGTTACCTCCCCTTATCACAAACTCAACCAGAGTAGTGCCATTGTTATCTCCCCTTATCTCAAACTCAACCAGAGCAGTGCCATTGTTATCTCCCCTTATCACAAACTCAACCAGAGCAGTGTCATTGTTATCTTCCCTTGATTATATTATTTTACCTCAACTTATGTCATTGATATCTCCCCTGATTTCATTGTCTGATCTTAATCTGTGTTATAAATAAATAATGAAAGGCATATTAGTAAAGTTTTCATTGAGATTTTCATGAAGAAGTAAATGGGGGATGTTTGAATAATTAATTAAATTCTCAATAAACAAGCTAGACATTACAAAAGTCATTCAGCTTCAGAAAGAGATGCATGAAAATGGAAAAAATATAAAAAAAATGTTCAAATCTTACTGAAAATGATAACCCAAGGAATCTGTTATGACCAGACACCTATAAATAATAACAATTTGGGTTACAATGTCAAAACAGTACATTAGTTAACAATCATAATAATATTTTTCTGAGATAAATCTTGGGTTGACATACAGTGGACAGATAACTATGTTCTATCAACAGAAACATAAAAACTACCTCAAAGTCTGCATCACTTGAATCTGTGGAAGAAAACGTCCCAAAATCCATGAGTTCAAAGGTCACCCTGGTCTGCCTACTTGTACCCGAGGTCGTTGCCTTGGTGACAGAGGTTGCAGCCATCCGACTGGTTGTACATTGGGTCGATTTCTTCTTCTTCCCGAACCTCGGTAGGCGATGCATGATTATGATCGTGTTTATATTTTACACCGGGAGAGTTAGGAGTCCATGAAACTTTTAATACATCCACTCACGGACTACTTAAACACTATACTAGCACTCACAATGGATTGATATGACACTTAAAGGGTGAAAGGTTTTCTGTAAGTGCAGATAGTATTGTAAACTACAATCCTTGAACAAGTGTTGAATTCATTTCCACAAACAATCCTTTAATCACAAACTATGCACTTGTACCGTGCATAAGTGAAGTTTTTTAAAAACTTCCCGAAAATACCAATCCCTTCTTTCATCTTCCAAAACAGCAAACTGGCAAGAGTTAACAGTCCGCCTGTGTTAAATTAGATCTTTCATATATGGAGTCAAATGAATTTCTTCTGTGATAAAAGTTGGCTCAAAATATCAAAGCCAGTCGTGCATGTTTCGGCATCCATTTGTCTCATTCCCGACTGCTGGATAGAGATGCTGCGTTTCTATGGCGATTATATATTTCTAAAAGGAGAACCTACGTAACCGTTTTTTGTTTGAATTTTTCCTCTTCGGTCAAAGATAAAGCCTTTGGATTATCTTACGAATCATCAGATTCTCAGACTCCGAATCCACCAACAGAACCGTCTCTGTCATTCCTCCGTGAGATTGGCACGATATATCCTTGATATATACATCTTACACACAAGATATGAATTTCTTATGTGAGTCATTTATGAAACATTCTTACATACATTTAGACAAACCTTTTTGTGTACTTTTATGATTCTGCTGATAAAAGATTATTTCACAGAGATTCTTCACCTATTTTTTCATGGATTGTCATTCATTACGAAGCTTTCGGGAAAATGTTATTTATAAAAACAATTTCATTTTTTTTTTGAACTTTTAAGCATCAATAAAGCAAATCCAATCCCTCTTCTTTAATGTTACGAAAGATTGCTGAGACATTTCAGGAGAGAACACAGATCTTCTGCTTTATCTTCCTGAATCAGAAAAGTTCAAACACTTTAGAAGTGAAACTTTGCAAGACAAGAATGCTATCTCGTAGCCACCCTTCAATTTCAGCATGTGATGTCCTTCCCACAGATCTAGAATAACTCTTTAAAGTCCAAATTTAAGTTAAATTTCGCTACATCCTGTCATGTAAAATCCACAGAAAATTGAAGAAATCAGAAATATTCTTGTTAACACTATGAACATCTTGTCCTGCAGAATATTTATAGCTATCACTTTCTAATCAGACTCGATCCCGATCCCGATATCTTCACATTTCTATCCGAAACACCTGTTCCATACTAAACACATGTATATTACATATTTGTTTTTCTCCTTGAATATCTGCGAAAACGGTTAACATAAAAAGGTGTCCTAGGTAACCCTGATGGCTGCCATAGTGTAGCCACCTAATCGTATCTCCGTATCAGGTATACACAAGTGTTCCTACATCAAAACTCCTGTCCAACTGTCGACTCCGAATCAAAGTTAATCAGGTGGCACTACTATGATGTAGTATGGTTCCCTCAGCATCCAAAACATTTGAGACAAAAGCTTCCCTACACAGCATCGGATGTAGGAGAGATTATCCGTGTGAGTGTGTTTTCCCAGTGGGCCAGTACATATACCCTCCCTCTTCCTGATCATATACTCCCCCTGTACTGTGTTACTCACTCCCCCCTACACTGCAGTAATGTACGATCTTCTATACTGTCCCCTGGTATCCCAAGGCCCCTGTCCCTCAGTGTAAATCTCCCTCTGAGTACACATGTACCCACACTTCCTGTCAAGTCCCCCTGAAGTCAGAAGGGGCTGTTCCTAATCCTGTAAATTAAAGTATTGTCAGTTTGATGGAAATCTAACACATCATTGTTATCAGTGAAATTCCTTGTGACAGGTATACTTAGAGCAACAAAATGAAACTTCATTAATAAACTTGAAAGTTACGGAATTAAAAATCCTCTTCCCCCTCCTCACTTCCTGTACCAGTTCCCGTCACCCCCTCCCCCATTTATTTACTACTGGTCCATGATGCCCCTCATTTCCACCTCATACAGTACATCTGTATGTCCATATAACAGGTTTGAACCTCAGCAGCCCTGATATTAAAGGGTGCAAACAATTAGATGTCACCACCCCCTTCCTCTCACCCCCTTCCTCTTTCTACTTGATGGTAATAAATAGGTCCTTAGTTTTACTTCCTCAAAGGCTAGAGGAAATCTTGATGAATTTCCATGAACAAATTAGAAGGAGAAAACACCGAAAAATGATGTGTGAAATTGTTCTTATTTCGATCAAAATCATTTTATTCAGTTTTAGTTCTAGAAACAAATACAGTTGATAAAACCTGTTCTTCTCAAAACTAAAAGACTGTATCTATAGGTAGTGTAATGGGAAACAGACCGATGCACTTAGTCCAATATAAAGTGCAATAAAGAAATATTTGCCTTGTATTAGCCTCACCAATACCTTGCCACTTACTTTTACATTTTAGGCACTGTGTAACAATATGGAGCTATCGTCCCCTACCCCTAGTGAGTGCCCCTACCCCCAGGGGGAGACACATTAGCTGGTATATCTTTGTACACCCAAACATAACACAGCTTGTGGTTATTAAAGAAAGTTAACAGATGCTGTTCACAATAAATGCAGGCATATCTCTACACCTTCATCATACACAGTGTACATTATCAACAGAGGAGGGGGAGGGGGGAGGGGGAGATATACCTGGGGGGGGGGGTTAGATAGCTTAAGGAAAAGTAGCTTACAAAACATGTATCACTGTGGAGTGGTCAGTGTGTGACCACAGCTAGGGCCAAAGTCAACAAGCACCTCTATGATACACTCATCAACAATGTTCCACTGGTCACTGTAACTGTACCCACTGGTCAGTTCCTATTAGTCTGGAATTGATCAAACATCCATGGTGGTCATTTAGGTATACTGGTCAGTTGGTCTGGAATTGGTTAAAGAACACAGTATGATAAGTCAGTGAGAATCAATCTAGTACAGATTCAAGTCTGCTCTCAGAGACCAACCATTCTGTCAGTAAAGTGGTCCTTCAAGACAGGTTAGATATTACTTGTCTGAGGGTATAAATCCATCTGTCCATACAGCCTTAAAGAATCAGAACCCGTCCTCAGAGACCTGTTTCATTTGAGAGGGAAAACTCAAAGTACAAATGTATCTCTCAGCATCAAGATGTCTATAGATTATTGCTTGTCAATGTATTAATTTACTTTATTTGTATGAAAAACAAAAGCATAGTATATTTAACAAAAGGCCTGATTCATCCCTTCTGTCTTCAAATATATATATATATGTCGGCTAGAGAGGATTTCTCTTCAGCTCTTTCAGTAGAGCACAAGACTAGTAAACCAGAGGTCCCTGGTCAGACTCCTACTGGAGGCATTGAAATAAAAATGACCTCTGTAACATATATATGACAGTCCATGCAGTCTTGTAGAACTACAGATCAAACTGCAACTAGAGATCACCATGAGCTTGGTCAATTAAGTGCCCTTGACCGGTCAGTTTGTATAATAAATAGTCACAGAGATACCAGAGTGTACTGGTCAGTGCTATGTCAATAGGTCATGACATGTGACTGATTTATTTATAACCCATTTATAACTATGCACAGGACAGATTTATCAATTATAATCTCAATGTATCAATAGGCTATCCTTTATACAAACAACCGGAGTGATCTCCCTTCATCATAGAAACCTCCCTTGTCACGATATTAGCATTTGGACAAATACTTGCGGTCATATGCTATTCATTGGTGATTTTTCTAATTGATGATGATAAAATGCACTTGTCATTGTGCCCAAGATTTATGTTACTAAAACTGAATGATTCCCAAACAACACTCAAAAACTCTCTGAAATTAATATGACAAAGATAAAGTAGAAGGACTTTAAAATTAACCAAACTTCAATTCATGCCAAAAGAATAATTTTGCAGTTAATACAATGGTAAAAATATTTTAAGACTGGTTTAAAAATATCTATTTAACCTATCATATTTTTGCAAACAGGTCCAATCCAAGTCATTGGCAAACCTAAGCTTATGCCAAAAGTTTGGTTAATACCTAATTTTAAATATATACATTAAGTAAATTTGGGAGCTATTTTGAGTATGGAATTTGGAGGTTGGGGGTGGGGAGTGGAGGGGGGTTTTAATACAGACTTAGTCACTAATTCTTTATTAGTTTAGCTCATCCACCCCTGAAGACACATTTGAACTCTTCCAATTCAAAGGATGGAATATATATATATCTATATAGTTCATTATGAAATTTCTGGGGGGATTGAATGAGTTAAGGATCCAGCTGCAACTCACCAGGCCCCCACATTAATATTTCCAGCGGTCAAAACTGACCATCAGAACACTAAACAAGAGTTTGTATCTACAGGAACATGTGCAATGAATTAAATCAAAGATAAGGAAACTGATGATGTGACATGTTGAGACTACTGGCTAATCATTATTGCTAGACATTAAACTGCTGTCAATATTGATCATAAAATTGTGGCCATGCATGATGTTAACAATTGTACTAAAGATTTCATCATTGTATAAGACATTGGACTTAATAAATCCACACTAAATATGTATGACAGCATTGTTGTCCATGATGTCAGGTACAAGTGTTATTCTCACCCAGTATCTCTCTTTACACCCTAAACGCTAACCAGTCTTTTACCATTTGGCCTTCTATTTCTAAATGAAAATATAATTTATATATATTTCGTAAATTGCCTTATCGATAAATTGTTTACGTTCATGTATTTGAAGAAAAGGACTGTGATACGTTGTGAAAACTTCGTGTCCAATTATTTTGTAAATATTTTTTGCAATAAAATATGTTTAAATCAATTTGGCCATGACTTTTCTGACATCATTGATCAAGGATATACCATTTCATAATATGTTAATGGGTCCACAAAGATGGTTTCCAATACAATATTAGTCATATTACACGAAATTTTCAACATTTTAATTTTCTTGTTTGAATGATAAAACCAACATCTTTTTCTTTCCTGATAATTCTCTGATAGATAGAAAACATTTTGGCCCTACGTACTAAACAGACACTCAATGGAACTCTTTTGTGTACACCTCTGGAGGCTTTCCAAGGCATTTTCCCTTAGCAATAAGATGATTAGGGCTTGGCAGGTCAATGATTTGTTAGATTAATGAGTAGGTTACTCAAATTTTCAAATGAAAATATTTTTATTTACCATTAAATTCACAAAACCCTCATAAATATTGTCTCTGGATGATAGTTTTTGATCTTTATATATACTACTCAAGTTGTTTTTGAGAACATATCTGCAATGAAAATAACATCTTAATTTGTTGATAAGCTAATCATAGTTTGGAGGAACTGGGCCAAGTATGTATAAGACGTAGTTTACTTGGTGTGAGAGTGACTA